TAAGTCATTAGTTGTTTCCTTGTGCTGCCACTCCCTAGGCTTCTAAGTTTCCTGAGGATGGGCACCAGTGTGAGCCCAAAAGCTTGAAAGAATAAACCTTTGGTCCGGGTGACTGACTCAGATCAGATCCTACAATCTAACTGATCATTGATGTCAGGGGACACCTGCCTTATTCTGGGCATGAATGTTGTACAGAAGCTGTCTTAACAACTGCCTATTGAGTTAACAGGCCAAGTGAGGTCAAATAAGCAAACAGAAATTTTGGATTCTGTTGGGTTTCGTCTACGTGCCTGCATTGGTGATTGGTGCTCCCCCCACAAAAATGAACTTGGCTGCTTGTGGGGAACCACGACTGCCAAATCTGCCTTTTCTGTGTGCCAACATTCTGCATGTTCCTTTGTGAAAACGTATCCCGCATTTAAAACATCTTACTTGCTAGGGACACAATTACTTTAAAGTCTTCCGCTTTGCTATTCTGGTGTCAGGCACAAAAGACCGGGTCCATCCATGACGGTTCAATTAAACTGGTTTATTGCTAAAAGCCTATGCATCAGAAACTTCTCAACTAAGGTTTGGCACCAGCTTAGAGTTAGATAAGGGTCAATGGCACTCCAAAGGAATTGGACTTCATTCTCTTGTGAATACGTAGAAATTCTAGGCTGATTCCCCTTTTCATCCCACCCCCAGTTCTGCCATTCCATTCTTTTACATCTGGTTCACCTAGGCACAGAGGCACTGGTTCCAATGTGAGGTTGAAATCTTATCCAGTCTTCAAGCGGGAGAGTTTGGATAAGGTTTACCACCTCAATGGGTACATGTGTATCCAGTGGCCCTTCTACCTGCTGCCACACCAGTGGACTAGCTGCTTCCCTGCCCCAGGCATCTCTGCAGATGCTGGTTTAACAGCAATATTAAAGGGGCACCTGGCGTTCATAAAATTATTTGACAGCATGCAGTGTCCTGCTATTTTTATTCTATGTATCCAGCTGTTGCCAAATACGATCGTCCTGATTGTTGTCCCTGTTCCTGTTGTGGGTGGAACAAACATAAAACCGATTGGCAATAGCCTTTGGGTTATGCCTTTAGGGCAGGGTTTCTCAGCTTTGCAATTTTGAGATACGTGGATTTCAATCCCCAGAATTCCTCAGCCAGCAAGTTGAAGCCTTACGTAGCTTAAAGTTGGCAAGGTTGACAAACACTATTTCAGGGTAAACATCTGTGGAGCTTCTCATTCATCCAGGACGATCATATTTGGCATATGTGTTGGTTTACTCGCCTAAACTTCCAAGGCTGGCAAATTGCACCCTGCAGAAATTTCGGCTAGCCATATTTGGAGGGACAAATCTTATCTTTGCCATATTATTAAGCCAGGCTTGGCAAGGTGGTTTGTTGTGTTTTTTTTTGACATAGGCATAATCTATACCTCAGTTTCCAGCATGACAGGGATGCGTAACTGTTACTTAACAGATGTGCTTAGCATATTCTCCTCTTTTGCAGATGTCACTTTTATACTGGATGACGGTGCTATCAGTGCTCACAAACCCTTGCTGATCTCCAGTTGCGACTGGATGGCTGCCATGTTTGGGGGTCCTTTCGTCGAGAGCTCAACTCAGGAGGTGAGGCAACCTTGAGCATGGACTGAGAAATTTATTTTATTTTATTATATTTTATTATATTTTATTATTTTATTTTATTTTATTATATTTTATTTTATTTTATTTTATTTTATTTTATTTTATTTATTTTATTTATTTTATTTATTTTATTTATTTTATTTATTTTATTTTATTTTACTTCATTTCATTTCATTTCATTATTTCATTTTATTTTATTTTATTTTATTATTATTTTATTTTATTTTATTTTATTTTATTTTATTTTATTTTATTTTATTTTATTTTATTTTATTATTATATTTTATTTTATTTTATTTTATTTTATTTTATTTTATTTTATTTTATTTCATTTTATTTCATTTTATTTATTATTTATTTTATCCCACCTTTATTACTTCATAAATAACTCAAGATGGCGAACATACAACACATAATTTCCTCCTCCCCCCCTCCTCCTCCGTTTTTCTCCCCACCACCATTACTACCCTGTGAGGTGAGTTGGGGGCTAAGAATCACCAGCCCCAAAGTCACCCAGCCAGCTTTCATGCCTAAGGCAGGACTAGAACTCACCGTCTCCTGGTGATTGCCTCAAAGTTACCCAGCTGGCTTGCATGCCTAAGGCAGGACTAGAACTCACCGTCTCCTGGTGATTGCCTCAAAGTCACCCAGCTGGCTTGCATGCCTAAGGCAGGACTAGAACTCACCGTCTCCTGGTGATTGCCTCAAAGTCACCCAGCTGGCTTTCATGCCTAAGGCAGGACTAGAACTTACAGTCTCCTGGTGATTGCCTCAAAGTCACCCAGCTGGCTTGCATGCCTAAGGCAGGACTAGAACTCACTGTCTCCTGGTGATTGCCTCAAAGTTACCTAGCTGGCTTGCATGCCTAAGGCAGGACTAGAACTCACCGTCTCTTGGTTGCTGGCCCAAAGTCAGTCAGCTGAATTTCATGCCTAATGTGAGACTAGAACTCACACTCTCCTGGTTTTTAGCCACCCAATTCTCTCTCTCTCGCTCTTTTTTTTAATGTAACTTCATGTAGTTACATCCGTGTCCCTGAGTGAACTTTTTGTACACAGCCACGTTCACTTGTTTCAACCAACGTTAGCGCTGATGTTTTCTGCGCAAAATGCACCGAATGTTGGGAATGCTGCTTTGAAAGAGCGCAGCAGCTGGAGAAGGGTATAAAATGGGCTCAGTATGGTTGAAGAAAATGTGGAGATTTTACTTTATTTTGCATCTGAAAATGGTACAAATTTAACCCCTTGGTATCCTCACCATTGCAGGTAGTGCTACCATACACCAGTAAGAGTTGCATGCGAGCAGTGCTTGAGTACCTGTATACTGGCCAGTTTTATTCTTCTTCAGACCTTGATTACATGAAACTCATCATCTTGGCCAACCGCTTGTGTCTGCCACACCTGGTTGCACTCACAGGTAATTTGCTGCACTTTTCCTTCCCCATTTATAAATGAGGGATCGTTTCAAATGCCAAACATTGGAAAGAAACAAATGCCAACTATAGGAAATAAGCATGGCATTTGTTTTTCATTGTCCATTTTGGACATGCTCTATGTGTGTCAAGTTTATATTTGCCTTTTTGTTAATCTCAGCTTTCAGGGAACAGGACTGTTTTTAAAAAATGCAATAGATGATACCAGTTCCCAGATTATTAATTTTAGCCCACCAATAATTCAATTGGTTTGTTATTGGCAGGACAGAAATCTAAATCTTATCTTTGGGAGCATGTAATGAACCAACTGATCGTATTTGATATGTTTATCATTTTGCAGAACAGTTCACTGTGTCTGGTTTGATGGAAGCAACACAGTTGTTAGTGGATATAGACGGTGATGTCCTTGTGTTCCTGGAGCTGGCTCAGGTACAAACAACTTACTTAGAATCAATCCAAAATGCTCTTTGTTTTGGAATAGTGCTATATAGGAATAGGAATATAGGAATATTCTTTATTGGCCAATGTGATTGAACACAAAAGGAATTTGTCTCCGATGCATAAGCTCTCAATGTTCATGCAAACAAGTCATAAGATCATAAATCATAACAATAATAAACCATAGGATACAAACAACAAGTGATAAAGGAGAAGGTAGTAGGAAAGATGAGAAGATAAGAAGATTAGAAGGATAATCGCAATATAGCCCTACTACATGGGTGAATATCTTTAGGCATAAGACACTGCTGTGGGAATTGGGTGTTCAGCAGAATGATGGCATGGGGGGGGGACTGTCTTTGTGTCTAGTTGTTTTGGCATTGTTTTGTTGTCCTTGTTTTGGAATATTGTTAGGCCATAATCTGATACTCGTCTGATGATACGTTCTGTGAAGCTCAATGCTTCTGCATTGACTTGGATGGGATCCTCCTTTTAATGTATTTATATCCCGCCTTTATTATTTTTAAAAATAACTCAAGGCGGCGAGCACATCCAACACATCCAACACACCTTCCTCCTCCTATTTCTCGACAACAACAACCTTGAGAGGTGAATTGGGCTGAGAGAGGATGACTGGCCCAAAGTCACCCAGCTAGTTTTCATGACTAAAGCAGGACTGCTGGGGTAGGCAACTGTGGCAGTTTTATGATCTGTGGACTTCATCCCCAGAATTCCTGAGCCAACATGGCTCACCAGATCCCATCCTTTTCAAAGGAAGATTTGACTCAAAAGCTCTACAGAACAAGTCTAAACACATGCCAGTTGCTAAGGGTTCCGAATTTTGCTCATGTGACCGTGAGGATGATGCAGTGGTCATGAAGTGTAAAAAAAAAGGCTCATAAGTCACTTTTTTCAAGGCCGTTGTAACGTCAAACAGTCACAAAATGTATGTCTGTAAGTTGAGGACAACCTGTATGCCTTTTCTGGCTAAATGCAAATAAAATGGTGACTCATGCCAGCCTGTCTTTTCTCTTCCCCACAGTTCCATGGTGCCTACCAGCTTGCCGATTGGTGCCTCCACCATATCTGCACCAACTACAACAATATCTGTCGCAAGTTTCCTCGGGAAATGAAAGCAACGTCAACAGGTAGGTGTGAATTTACGAACGATGGCACCGCTTTCCTTTTGAGCTCAGGAGTCGCGTGGATCAAAAAAGATGATCCTGTCGTTTTTGCAAACTTTTTTTGTGGCAGAAGAGGGCCATTCTTGTCATCTCTGTGTGCTATCGGTCCATCTGATATTTATCTGTTTTACAGTCTCAGAGGAAGACAAATAATCTGAACATGGACAGTCAGAGAACTTATGGTTGTTTCTCAGCTGCCTGTCAATTGGGGAACAGGATTTATCCGTTCTCGATTCTCCAAGCTGCTCCCAGTTTTTGCTTCTAACAATTTAACATCTCCCAAAGTGAAAGGCAGCTCTTAAATCGGGGTAGCCAGTTTAGTTCTAGGTTTTCTTTGTACAATTGCATTTTGCAAATATACAGGGCTTGCTTGTAGCCTGCAAAACACGCAGGGTGGGCATGAAAACAGGCGTGGAGCATACCACCACATTGCTGTTTTTATTTTACTTTGCAAACTGCCGTGGGACGGTCCTTTTTGTATTGCACCAGCTGTGTTAAAAAACAACAACAACGTTAAATTTGTACGAGTGTTTCAGGAATAAGAAAGATCCGAATTCTAGCATGGGGCCGAAAGTTCTTAATTTCTCTTTGAACTTTTCTCTGCAGAAAATCAGGACTACTTTGAGAAGCATCGTTGGCCCCCCGTTTGGTACCTGAAGGAAGAGGATCATTTCCAGAGAGCCAGGAAAGAGCGCGAGAAGGAAGACTACCTCCATCAGAAACGGCAGCCAAAGAGACGGTGGCTCTTCTGGAATGCCTCTTCCCCATCCTCATCTGCCGCCACAGCTTCCTCTTCCTCTTCTTCCTCCTCCTCTTCCTCTGCTGTGGTTTGAAGGTTGCACTGCCTACGCTTCCGATGGCTCTTAGAAGGAGTGAGCCTACTGGTGCCCGGCGTTCCAAAGCCGTGGTGAGATACCACTGGCTGAGGCCCTCAGAGGAGAAAAATCAGCATGAATCTCCCTGAGAGGCTGATGAGAAAAACCTGAAGGAGAGCAGCTCGGGAGCCAGAATACCCAACAACTCATCCAGAGCTCCAGGTGGTCTCCATCCCTGTCTCAGCTAGTCTAGAAGCACAGCAGACGGAGAGACCTCCACCGGTGGAACGGAAAGCAGTCCTGTTTCTTTCCAAGAGGCTCACTCATCTAGTGGGACTGACCTTTTTTTGCAGAAATGCTGGAGGAGGGTGTTTTTGTTTGTTTGTTTGTTTGTTTGTTTGTTTAATGGGAGAAAACAATTACTCCAAGAAAGAAGGAGCCATTCTGTATTATTTTTTCCTTCTTTTCCCCTTTGCGAAAAAAAGTTTTTGTTTTTTTTTAAAAAGTATTAACGTACCTCACATCGACCATTCTCTGCACCTTAACATTTCAAGCTGCTGCAGATGCTGCGTGTCCCAGGACTTTGTTTTCCCTTTTCTGGGTTCCTTCACGATGGGAAGGGGACCACTTTATTTTGGTTGCACTTAACTCCTACCCAGGCACTTATCTCTAGATGTTTTGCTTTGAGCAAGGCATGTATCCTGCCAGCAAACGGCAGTGGTCTTTCTGCTCCTGAAAGGTGGACACCCCAATGAAGGAGACACTGGCCTAGAGAAGCACAGATCCTCCACTGGGGTTCAAGGGCAAGAGGGAGAAAAAAATGACCGTAGAATAGCAAAACCATCTTGGCGAAGCTGGAAAGCTGTTCCCACCCACTTTTTTCCCTTAATTTTGCCAGTAGTTTGCAACACAATCTACAAGACTGACCGGATTAGGAGGAAAAATGGGAGGACGAGAACAATGCCGCCTGGTTTTGGCCATAATGCTTGAGGATGCGTTGTGTATGAAAGAGTATAAACCCCCCACCCCCAGCAGTTATTGTGCTGTTTTAATAAAAAATGAAACACCAACCAATACACATCTTGGATTTTAGTGTGGAAGGTTCTGTTGTAATAAATGGTATTTTAAAGAAGGAGTTGTGAACTTTTTCTGTGACTTGGAAGTGGAAAGAAACAAGAGAGGGTGACAATCCAGAGCAGTCTTACTCTGCCTGATACTGAACCGTCTCATTGTGGTGGATGGTAGTTCTGAATAGTAAACAATAGCATTTAAGCTTATATACTGCCCCATAGCACTTTACAGCACGTCTCAGTTTATAACGTCAGCAGATTGTCCCCAACAATCTGGGTCCTCATTTTACCAACCTTGGAAGGATAGAAGGCTGAGTCAACCTTGAGCCAGTCGGGATCGAACTGCTGGCAGTGAACAGAGTCAGCCTGCAATACTGCATTCTAACCACTGCGCCACCAGGGCTCCTCTTCTAACTCTGCTTCAAATAACTAAAGCTTTAGTGTTGTGAGCTCTACCTACAATAGCTGTGTCTAAAGCAGAAGACAAAAGACATGTTCTAGCACCCCAAGTATTGCCTCAGAAGACAAAAAAAAAAAAAAAAAGATAACGCAATGTGTTTGATCCCATTAGGATCAAACTTGAGACTCTGGGCAGAGTTTGCCTGCAATATTGCACTTTAACCACCAGGGCTTTAGGCTCCACCAGCCTAGCTCCAAATTCTAGGCATTGCAGTTATCAAAAGTTCGCAATAGCCGCAAAGAGACTTTGTGGGTCAGCTGTATTGCAACTTGAATGTCTTTGAGGCCCCTCTTGGGACTGGAGAATAAACACTGATATTAGCATTAAAAAAAAAACCCCATACTAATAATTTTATTTACTTGCACTTAACAGAAGCAAGTTTGAAAATGTGCAGCCCTACTTGATGTTCGGGTATCCTGGAGCAGGATACAGAATGTCCTAGGTTCTTCCTCCAACTGATACAAATCGTGCCACGGTTGAGGCCAGAATTTTCATTGCTAAGAAAGGCGGTCGTGAGCGAGCCGCACTCAAATTTGGCCACCTGTTTTGTCGCGGTTGTCAACTGCAGTTAAGTGAATCAGGAGGTCGTTAAGTGAAGCTGACTTTTCCCCATTGACTTGGTTTATCGAAAGCTCCCTGGGAAGGTTGCAAATGGTGATCACGTGACCCTGGGATGATGCAACCATCACACGTGCCCGTTACCAAGCACCCAAATTTGGATCACATAACGGAGGATGATGCCAAGGCAGTCTTAACTGTGAGAACCAGATATGTCACTTTTTTTCACTGCTGTTGTAACTTTGGACAACCACTAAATGAACGACATGTTAAGCTTATCCGATGTCCTGGCATTTTTAAAACATTGCTCTGGATTATGAAGGCTTTAGGGCAGGGGTAGGCAACCTTGGCTCTTTTATGACTCGTGGACTTCAACTCCCAGAATTCCTGAGCCAGCATGGCTCAGCTTGGAAATCTCTCTTTCCCCTCAGCATGGCTGGCTCAGGAATTCTGGGAGTTGAAGTCCACCAGTCATAAAAGAGTCAAGGTTGCCTACCCCTGCTTTAGGGTATGGTTCCATACATGCAAGAGACAAGCTTCTTTCTCCATGCTGATAAAATGAGTGGGTCGTAACTCTTGCCAAATAAGGTGGCATGTTATAATGCTCCAGATTCAGGTCAGAATTTAGAATTTGTGCACGGGAAACCATAAACATAAAATTCCGCTTGCCACAACATCAGGGATAATATATTTCCAACCATCCTGTCCAATTTTTAAAAATATTTTTTTAAAAAAATCCCTGGCTGAGGAATTCTGGGAGTTGAAGTCCACAAGTCTTAAGAGTTGCCAAGTTTGAAGACTCCTGCTCTACGGTATGTCCCAAACCTGGAATTGACTTCAGGATTGAACACAAGCTCACCTGCTCATATATTCTGAAATTTTTGATTGACTCATGTAGATACTAGATAGACTTCAAAGAGAGTATACAGAGAGTAAAATAAACACCCTCGGTCCCTTGAGGGTTTTTAAATATGAGAATATAAAAAACCAGGGAGAAATGTTAATATCAAAAACAATAAAAGATCATTTTCTTCGGTTTGCTTTACATTAAAAATATATATTAACAGATTGTACAACAGTGTGTAATTTTTAATGATGGTTTTATTTATTGAAAAATGGAACTTTACATAGTTTCATCAACAAGTACCTGTTTTCATTTCAACAGCCAACGAGCAAAAAAACAAATCCATAAATTAAACAAGGATTTATACAAACTTGAACAAATATTTTTTTTCATGCAGCCCCACTATCTAAAATAATTATGCATTTAAGTTAACACTTCTGCATGAATTTTTAAACCAAGTATTCAAAGAGAAGAGAAAATAGAAACAAAAACACCCCATAAACATAAATATCTAGAAATAGATAGAACTTTGGAACAAACTTCAATTTGAAGAGTAATTATTTGCACCAATATTTTTGTTCCTTGTCAATTCTGCTTCAACAGATGTCTGCAAACATGGCAGGATCCAGATCCCAGCTGCTAAAAAAGGTGACCTGGGCTTGTCGTCTTATGGGTTCAACTTCAGCCAATACATTGAATGGAAATGTGTTGAATTTCAAAGATTTACATAGAACCCGGTCTTCCAAATCCACATAAACTTAATCAGATGGACTTCCTCATCAAGACTTCCATCACATACAACATGCCAAATGTATGCCAGAGACTTAAGGTTTTAAAAAATCTGGCTAGGGTCTATCTATCATTATATGCACCCTCTTCTCTTTAATGCTGCAGTGATTGCCTGCATTCCATACCAAATAAAAATGAATTCTTCTGGCACTCTTGCATTTTTACTGGCCTCTGGAAATGCCGCAGGGTAAGACACATTCAAATTCATCCTGATAAAAAAAATGTTATTTTAACCCCAAACAATAAGTCACGGTGTAAAGTCACAAGCTGAGTTATCTGGACATAGAGGCTCATCCAGAACAGTTGTCCACCCAGAAGCTGTTGGATAGTTCTTCCGGGAATGGAAAGATGGCCCTGCCACCCAACCTTGTAGTCTCCCTGCTTCCCTTCCACACACACTTATTGAATTAAATGGTTGAATACTGAAAATTATGGGCAGAAACCGCCCCCACCTAATTCCTTTTGTACTAACACTGTCATTCAAATTTTGTCCGGTATCAAGGATTACTGCAAGCACAGTAAGCTAGCCAAATAGCAGTGTCAAGGCACGGAGCACAGGAAACTGAATTCACCCACTACCAAACCAGAGTATTCTTTATCCAGAATCAAATGTGGGATGCCAAAAACAGTGAATTCAACACTGAAAGGAAGGCAGCACATGAGGGCTGGCGTTCTACACAACTTTGGGGCCACTTTGAACCTACAAGAGGGATCTTGTAGGCACACTGAGAATGAAGCACCGCAATTTTACAACCTCAAACAATTGCTTGTAAATATGCGGAGTGCAATAAGGGTAACTATCCCCTTTCTCATGCTCCAGATTAATAATTTACAAAATAAAATAATTCATCAGCTTATTTTTAAAATTGTCATAAATAAAACCCTTGCCATATTTACTGCAAATCAGAAATAGGACCTCACATTAAAGTACTTTGGTTAGGGTGGATTTTTTTTTTCCCCAACATTTTAATTTTAAAGATCAGCCATTTTCTTTTTATGCTATTTTGACCTTTTGGCGTAACGGCAGCAAAAACACACACATATTTTTTTTAGGAACTCAAATTAACAGGGTATTTTAAAAAAGATAAATAACTCAGGCTGATTTCATCAACATACTACGTATCTTCTCGGTGAGGATCTGGATCCTGCCCTGTCACACCGTAGAATATAAATTAACATTAAACTGTAAACAAGTAGTTGGAAAATCCTTCTGTCCTGTCTTTTCAGGCTTCCCACTGAAAAGAGATTCCTGGAGACCCCCAAAGTGCACTTAAGAACAATCCTTTCTTTGTGAGAAATGTATAATGGCTTGTCTAAAAACCGAGATGGAAAATAACTTTGGGCATAGCATTTCGTTCCTTGAGATTTTTAATTTTCACTGAATTCAAAAGAAGAGAAAATGTTTCTAGTCCTTGCAGAAGAAATTCTCTTAAAGATCTTTTAAGGAGAGCTCCTGAATATACTGGATTGCAGCGTTCTGCAACCTTTGCAGGTTGGTGACCCGGCGTGCGGGTGAGGGGAGGGGAAGAGAGGATGGTTTTGCACGAGGGGCAGGCGCACACATGCGTGCGTGCCAGCCACTTGTGCAAGTGGGGATGCAAGTGTACACTCACCGGCATGCCACTCAACGTAACCCAGTTGCAAATAGGCCATGGTCTGTTATTGGGCTGTGGGCCATAGTTTGGGGACCTCTGCAGTATTGAATTAAGGGAGGGATGTATCCCCTCTACACCCAGCACCCCAGAGATACATATACAGGAAATCATTTTGGTGATTTGGCATTCTCTACCCAGGAGAGCCAAATTCAGCAGAAAACATATGAAAAACTTCACAGTGTCAACAGAACAGCAAACGCTGGCCCAACTTTTCAAGTGAAAGGATTGTTCTTATTTGTGGAGGTTCCTTTGACGACTGAATAGCAGCAGGATTTAAAAACCAAATACTTTTTTAGACATGTACAAAGATGGTTTCCCAATACAAATTCTGTATTTTATTTTATTTTATTTTATTTTTTAAAAAACCACATAATTCGTCTTAGGTAAGTTCTGAGAGTCTTGGGTTTTTCTTTTGGATTTGACGTGAACAAAAGACGTTTATCTTTCGTTTACGTCAAATCCAAAAGAAGATCTGAAACTATCAAAACTTACCTGAGACGAATTGTGTTGTTTTTTAAAAAAAATAAAAATAAAAATATAGAATTTATATTGGCAATGGAAAAAGATCAATTTGGCTGCCCAAATAATTTTTCGTGGGAAAGACATCATTTGTACTGAAAAGAGTGGGACGACCTTCAAAATAACACCGGTATAGAAATACTTACCGGTAGCGTAATAATTTCTGAACATTCAAGAGCCAAATTGGTGTGGCACCTCTTTAAAGAAATGCCTCTTTTTTTTTTGTGGGCTTACAGAGCAGTTGTGCCATCCTGAGAAAACCCAAGCTGAATAAAGAAAGGAAGCGACACAGGGTGCCGCCAACTGCTTTGAGCCAGACATGACGGGCTGTTGACACCTCCTTAACTTAAGGGTGTATTTTCCGAATGATGACTTGACAAAGTCCGCAAAAGGACACTGTTTCTGTAAGGACATGGCAACAGTTGTGTCTGGCATAATCCACACCTACTCTGAAAGCATCTTTTGATTTCGAGTCTAATGTACAGCACAGCCCTAGCTGCCCACATAAAAACCCTTTTGGACAGGCAGTGCGTAGAAGGCCTTGTGCTAGTCTGGGCTATTTTAAAATGTAAACAACCTATGGCTTGGTGAGAAGAAGCTGGTAACTCAAACCTCTTTTCCTTCTTACTTTGCCAGGTGGACAAACACTGGATTCAAGAAGGGCCCACCTGGCTAAGAACTTATTCTTCATAGACATACAAACGTTGAGCAACGAGACCTTTTGTAACTTCTTCCGCAATGCCCTTTAAATCCATGCCATTGAGCACCTCCAGAAGAACATTCAAGGTGGCTGCCTGCCCCTTCTTGTCCAGCCAGGTCCGTAGCATTTGATAATGCTGCTCATTCACATATTGTGAAGCATTTGCGGCAGAGTCAATTTCGTTATCGGTCAACTTGAGGAGTCTCATGAATCTGTTCCAGTCTTTTGAAGGCACCTTGTTGATGAAGCTGTCAAAAGCTAGAGTCAGAGCTGGAAAGGAATATGATAAATTTGAGGGAGATGAAAGGAGGAGGAGGAGGAGTCTTATTAATCAGCTGCTACTAATTTCCCAGTTGCATAGGTTGCTCTGAATCAAGTGTGGCATGGCATAACTCAGAATCAAGCGTGACATAACTCAGTGGCTTGTCCTTATAAAAGTGTAGCTACATTTTTCAGAATTGCAGAAAGAATTGTTGATGGATGTCAGCAATGGGGATGAAGTAAGATAGCCTTTGGTAGGACATAGGAGATTTTTACAGCTGCTTGCTCCTCTCCCTCTTTTGAAATGCAAACCCCGTGCCCCTCAAAAGTCAATAGAATTTAAAAAAAACAACAAATAAATAAATAAGATACAAATAAAATTCTTCATGAAAATAAAAACGTAAAGATGATCATGGAGAATGAGACAGCCAAGCAAAGCCAGCCAGGTCTGCAACCAAAGATAACCTCGTGCTAGTACCTTCAAGCCAAAACAGATTCTGACAGTGATAGCCTTGTCGTTTCATAGGAACTAGAAAAACCAGTCTGTAAATTGAACAGGGCAGCTTTTATCACTTCTAGTAGGAGGTGCTTTGAATAACGGGAAAGGGGTCTAGTAGTTTAAAAAGCAAACACTGTCTGCTCCTACCACTAGAAAAAGTTGAAAGGATCACACACCTCGGTTCCAATTTACAGGAAAGCTGGGACATGACCGTTGAAGTAAAGACAAGGATAGAGAAAGCCCGAACAGCATTCTTCAAAATGAAAAAGGTCTTCTGCAGTCACGACATAAGCCTAAGACTGAAAATCAGGCTTGTCAGATGCTATATTTTTTTTATCCTGCTCAGAGAGTTGGTCTCTGACAGAAGGCCACCTGAAGAGACTAGAAGCATTTGAAATGGGGATTTACAGGCGGTTGTTACGTATAAGCTGGGTTGACAAGATCAGAAATGAGGAGGGGATAAGCCGCCTGGGAAAGCCCAGGGAAATCATCAAAACAATTAAAAAACGAAAATTAGAATATTTCAGACATGTGATGCGACACCCAGAAAAAATACGGCATCCTCCATTTAATCCTCCAGGGAAAGATTGAAGGCAAATGAGGTCCAGGCAGAAGAAGAACATCGTGGCTTCAAAATCTAAGGTTTGGACTGGTTTGGACAAAACTCAGCAGCACTTTTTCGTGCGGCTGCTGATAAAAACAGGATCACCCAACATGCTCGCCAACGTCCGATAACGGATAGAGCACAAGAAGAAGAAGAATCTTCTAGTTACTATATATCTAATACATGATATCTCAAGGAGTATTCTGACAAAAAAGAATCCAAATTAACTTGCAAGAATTTAAGAGCACTTACTCTCTACTGCGTTCCTGCCATTTTCAGGAACTAACTTCCTTCTTTCTGCACATCCTTGACCTTCCTATAATGAGAAAGAAAAGGAAAAGTAAAGATAAAAGTTTCCCCTTGTCCAGTCGTGTCTGACTCTAGGGGGCGGTGTTTATCTCTGTTTCTTAGTGGAGGGAGTCCATGTTATCCAAAGAAACTTTCCATGGTCATTTGGCCAGCGTGACTATATGCTGAGGTGAACACTGTTACCTTCCCACTGAAATGGCGCCTATGTATCTACACGCATTTGCGTCCTTTCGAACTGCTACAGTAGGCAGGAGCAAGTGACAGGAGCTCACCCAGTCACGCAGCACTCGGGTCTCAAACCCGGGTTTTCAGCTTTCCAGCTGACAAGCTCAGCGTCTTTAACCACTGGGCCATCACACCTCCTGAATGAATAGAACTCCATTGCATTCATGCAATTAGTAAGATAGCCCTCAACTTACAAACATAATTGGGACAGGAATTTCCATTGTAAGTCATTGCGGTCATAAGACAACTTGGACCCAATCGCATGACCGTGTTTTATATTGTTATATCGTTTTATATGGTTAAGTGCGAACCCATTGAATGGGCGATTTTTGCCAGAAGCTGGCAAAAAGATCCAAAGCTACAATCACACGGTACACCATATGCACAATGGTTAGAATGCAGTATTGCAGGCAAACTCTGCCCACAGTTCGGAGTTCGATCCTGACCGGTTCAAGATGGACTCAGGCTTCCATCTTTCTGAGGTCGATCAAACAAGGACCCAGATTGTTGTGGGAAAGGTGCTCACATCGTAAACTGCCCGGAGTGTGCTGTAAAGCACGATATATAAGCCTAAGTGCTACTGCTATCACAGGAGGCTGCAAATGGTTGTAATTGTAAGCCAATTACCAAATGCCTGAATTGCAATTATGTAACAACGGTGTGTGTGTGTGTGTGTGTGTGTGTGTTTACCATGATTGTAAATGTGAGGACCGGACTTTTTTTCCTAATTTCAAAAGTTCAATAAAGAAATAGTTGTGCATACGTGTGTGACTAACAATCACCGCATTTTTACATTTTGGTTACCTCTGGAGGGGAAGCTCTTAATGGAATCATTACGTCTGGTGCTTGTCCATTGGCAGTGCTACGACTGGGTGAAAATATTTTGCACCTCTGGTTCCTTTGCATGTTCAACATGTTGTCATCACGTTCTTCCCTTGGCTCTGGACTGGATCTCTTCTGCAGATATTGGAGGAATTGGGTACTCTTGCAAAAAACAAACATACGGTGGATTTTACTAGCTCTTAGAAATAAAATGTGACTGTGTCTCTGGATTTTTAAGAGCGTGCATATCCCTTTAGATAGGGGAACCAAGTCTTACTGAATTAAATGACATTCCAAATATTCGTTCTTCCCCATTTAACAGAGGATGCCACTTTAGCTACTGTTTATTTTACAAGAAGGATACTGTGGGTAGCAATATTCACCAAAGTTAGAGTTAATTCTGAGAATTCAATCTACCCAGGTTGAGTGGAGGATCATTAGCCATTGTAATGACTTCAACAATTAATTTTTCTGTTAAAATTAATTTCCTGTTAAATTAATAGTGAATTAATGTAACGAATGCCAGGAAAATTAATTTTAATTGCTTAATTGTTAGCAGTTTAATTGTATAATTGCTTGCTTGATTAATTAATGCTAAATTTAGTAATGCTAGTAAACACAGCATATTAAGAGATGTTTTACCAAACTATTCAGATAAGACTGTTATGGGCAAAGAAAGATAACCAGATTTGTAGATGACTATTCTGCTTGGATAACTGACTAACCTGATCCCCCTTGAAGAAAATTTTCAAATAGTTCAAACAGCATAAGAAGGAATGAACAATACAAAACATATGCAATATATATATATATATAGATAGATATTTTTTTTAAAGAAAAAGGTCTTACACAAACAATATGTGCTATCCCTAACTTGGTTACATTATTTTTCTCCATTTTCAACTTGAAGACTTTCTACTACATTCCTTAATGCAGACCATAAATTGAAACAACAACAAAATTCAAATCCGTGAAATCTTCAAAAATTAGACTACATGTATGTATTGTCCTGTATTTACAACCAAGAACTATGTAACTCTCATTTCAATTCATCTGAACATATTTATTTTGGCAATTTAGAAACGGCCCAACTACGGATGACTCTGGACACCTTCCCAAGGGAGAACGGTACAAAAAAAATGAGAAAAATTCATAATTAGCTAGTGACAACCCTATAAACTTGGGTTTCTCGGCAACTTTAAGATGTGCGGACTTCAACTCTGAGAATTCTGGGAGTTGAAGTCCACTTCTCTTAAAGTTGCCAAGGTTGAGAAATCCTGTTGTAAACCAAACACCATCAAACAGGGGTTCCACATTCGACCTATACATGGATTGTTTAGTTGTTGGGATCCAAAACATTCCCACTCTATCCGATCTCACTGAATGGACAGAAATAGCTGGAGATAGGCAGTCCCACAAATAACCCTGCCTTATAATGCCATGAATAGCAATAGCAATAGCACTTAGACTTATATACCATTTCACAGTGCTTTACAGCCCTCTCTAGGTGGTTTTATCACCCCTAACAATCTGGCTCATTTTACCGACCTCGACCTCAGAAGGGTGGAAGGCTGAGTGAACCCTGAGCCGGTGAGAATCAAACTGCCGAACTCCTGGCAGCTGGCAGTCAGCAGAATTAGCCTGCAGTACTGCTCTTTAGAAGGCCAGATCCTGAAGATGAAACTCAAATACTTTGGCCACCTAATGAGAAGGAAGGACTCACTGGAGAAGGGCCTAATGCTGGGAAAGATTGAGGGCAATAGAAGAAGGGGATGACAGAGAATGAGGTGGCTGGATGGAGTCCCTGAAGCAGGAGGCGTGAGCTTAAATGGACTCCAGAAGATGGTAGAGGACAGGAAGGCCTGGAGGAACGTTGTCCATGGGGTCGCGATGGGTCGGACACAACTTCGCAACTAACAACAACAACTGCACTCTAACCACTGGCGCAGTGGTTAGAATCAACAAGAAATATGACAATTATCAACAAGAAATATGACAATGAGTGAGATAGATGAAGGGCTTTAAAGGAGACAACGAACACACTGAATTGCACTCACAAGCCTACAGGTAAACAGCGCAGCTTGTGGGGAGGCATAGGCATAACAATAGGCATAACAAAGCATGCCCACCAGTGCTGGCACTGCCACATCCTGGACTAGCTGCACCTTCTGAACGGTCCTCAAGGCAGCTCCATATATGATGAGCCGTGGTGGTAAAATAGTTAAAATGTAGTATTGCAGGCTAATTCTGCCTCCTGCCAGCAGTTCGATCTGGCTCAAGGTTGATTCAGCCTTCCATCCTTCCAAGGTCAATAAAAGGAGGACCAAGATTGTTGGGGGCAAGAGGCTGACTCTGTAAACTGTTTAGAAATGGCTGTAAAGCACTGTGAAGCGGCATGTAAGTCTAAGTGCTACTGCTATTTCTGTAACAACACTGCAGATACTCCACTGTGGAAGTTGGATACCTTTCTTTCCAAGTTTTTTTTTCAGCAAAACATTTCCTCTCTTTATCTTTACACCCAATTATGTTTTATTTATGGGCTGTCAGGCTCTTGAATGGGACATAATTTTATGCACGATAGATTCGTGAGGCCTGTGTGCTGTGCAATTAGCTCACAGGGTGTAATAAGTTGGTGGGGTTGTAGTCACTGTGAGTTGTGGTGGGGGAGCACGGAGGGAGGCTCAGTCAATCTCACTGTATACATGTTATACTTTGCTAATAAAGATTCCTTCATTCATTTTAAAAAAAGAGCTCTTCCCTTCTACTCAAGGATGATACAATCATAATGTTGTTCTAATGCAACATAATTTTTATTAAATCTTCATAATGATCTTACAGCATGCAGAGCCCAATGACATAACCCAGTGATGGCGAACCTTTTAGAGACCGAGTGCCCAAAACCTGCCCCCCGCCCCGCCTCCCGCCCTGCCTGCTCTGCCCCCACCTGATCCCTGCCCCACCCGCACGCCGGGCCACCCACCGCCTCCATGGCCCGTCGCAGATCGCCCAGGTGGCCCTGCAGTGCCATGGCAGCCACGCCCTCCGCCCACACCCTGCAACATCATCTGTGCAAGACGGGGCGCGAGGGTGGAGTCTTGTCCCTGCTGCCCGGCTGCCATGTCCTTGGCCGCGCTGCTCCGTGCGGGCCGTGCCCAGGGGTGACTCTCCTCCGGGGGGCTGCTGGTGAGGAGGGGGCCGCAGGGGGCCACGGGGCTGGGGCGACAGCACGTGTGCCCACAGAGAGGACTCTGAGTGCCGCCTCTGGCACGCGTGCCATAGGTTCGCCACCACTGACATAACCTATTTTGTGTATGCCAAATACCCTATATTCTATGGCTAAGGAGGGAAGGCTGAAAAATAATCACACTTAATAGGCTGAAAAAAGCAACATGGCTTATAACATGACTTCCCATGTTACAGTAAAAGATAGCTTCTCATACAAACGTTGTGAGACTAAAAAAAAAATCCCCTCACCCAGTATTACTTTTCCCATCTCCAGAGGAGAAAAGAGTTCTTACCGTGGTGCTCCAGAAACCTGTGCAGGCTGTAAGAGAAAACAGGATGATATAGAGAAATTTAGCCAGCAGAGCAGTGATCACATGTGGACATGTTATAAAGGCATTTAAAGGGGAACCTGATGAATGATTCATGCACAAACTGCTACATGCATGGAACAGCTGTTTTGGGATGGCTTGTTCTACCCCAGATTCTAGAAGATCTAACTTGAATTCAAACTTGGAGTGACCTCAGTTCTAAAACGCTGGAGGAGAAGACAGGAATTCTTGCAAAAGGCTAGCAAACACCAAAGCTGTAGAGCTTCCTCAAATCTCCATCTACATGAAGATGTTGAGGGACTTGAGTTATTACAATAACGCAAAGTCATATTAAAGAGATATTTGACTCAATCTTGCAAAAAGGATTTCTACACTCCAAAATGAGTAAATGAAACCAGCAAGTAATAACGCAGTCAAGTAAAGCTGACCCCCCCCCCCAAGATCAATTCTGTCCATCTTTTCTCCAGAATTCTGGGACTTGAAGTCCATGGTTCTTCAAGTTCCCAAGGTTGAGAAACACTGTATTATGCAGAGTAGGATGGCAGGATTCTAGACTCTATAACTTCTGAATACTGTTGAGGCTTCCTTCTTTGTTTTTTCATGATTAAAAAGTTCTTTGCTTATCACACTATCATACCAAGAGCTATGCTAAATGTCTTACACATTTTGAGTCTCACTGAAAACAGAAATATTATTCTTACCGTTTCTAAAGCTTGTGTTTTTTTTCCAACACCATACCAGGCCCAACACTACAGACAGCCCCAGAGGAAGCACAATGAGCCAGATCCATCTATGATCTCCTACTGCAGGGGAACCTTAAAATGAAAGGAAAAGAAAGGAAAAAAGGTAGGTATAGACCAGGGGTGTCAAACTCGCAACGTCACGTGATATGTTGTGACGTATCGCGACTTTTTCCCCATTGCCGGCAATGGGGTGGGCGCGGTTTCGGCATGACACATCCGGCCCGTGGACCGGCAATTTGACACCCCTGGTATAGACTGATCATTTGAATGGCAATGCTTCTTCAAACTGAGTCCTATACTGGCTTCTGAGAGGCTTGCAATAAAATTTGATGTAATGAGTTTAATCTACAAACCCTGTTCTGGAATCAGCCTCATCCGACGAGAAACTGATAAAAGCCCATTCTAGAGACTAAAGTGGTTTTGGTGATTCTTTGATTGAGCTGTTGTTTATGTGATGTTGTTTGTCTTTGGAAGTTCCTTGATGGGGACATTGTTTGATTGATTGGTCTAAAGCAGAGATTAACACCAAGATTAACCCTAGAAGACTGACAACCAAGAAGTAAACAATACCCCATCAAGGAACAACCAACACAGACAAACAATCTAACAGTAAACAACAGCCAATAAAGGAACCTGATAAAGCCCACTCAGACCAACACTTACAAGCAAGCCACAGGGGTGGGGGACCTTGGCTCTTTTATGACTGGTGGACTTCAACTCCCAGAATTCCTGAGCCAGCGTGGCTCAGCTTGGAAACCTCTCCCTTACCCCTCAGCATGGCTGGCTCAGGAATTCTGGGAGTTGAAGTCCACGAGTCATAAAAAGAGCCAAGGTCCCCCACCCCTGCACTAGCATATAAAATGAGAGCAAACTGTCGCTCCCTACTAGCACTGATGATTTTACCTAGTTTGGCAATGAAACGTCTGCAAGAAAACAACCAAGCTTAGGGAGCACCAAGGACCCCACCGTTAACAACATATCACTCTCTCTTAAAACACAATCAGATGCACCTTCATTCCACAACTCACCCCATTTTCTACAACTCATCTCTAAATCTTCAATTCTCCTTAGGAGTCCACAAAGGTCCAGTAGAAATCAACCAAAATACCTAAGTATATAAATCTCCTTTTTCTATTTCATCTAAATTCCCCTCATCCCTGTCTTTAACAAACAAAATCTAATACAGGGGTCTTCAAACCTGGCCCTTGTATGACTTGTGGACTTCAACTCCCAGAATTCCTCAGCCAGGCACGCTGGCTGAGGAATTGTGGGAGCTGAAGTCCACAAGTCATAAAAGGGCCAAGTTTGAAGACCCCTGATCTAATATGGTAGCAACTTCCAAAGAACTGTCCCTGCTTAGCAGATACAGGATGCTGATTCTCTTCCATAGAAGGGACGGTTGCAGGTTCAAAGGCCAGAGGACAACAGGAATCAAATAATCTGTCTGCTCAGGAAGTATCCTAACCAAGAGCTGTCATCGTTGCCATATTTTGTTACATTTCCTTCTTGTTCTGTATGAAAATCCATCTTAGGGCTAGCACCATAGTCTCACATTCACTGATACTGGTCTACCAGGATGCAAGCAACTTACTTGTTGGAGGTGATGAGGTAGTATCAGGAAGACACCTGATGTCACTTGTAGGCGTGCAGTCCTGCACCTTCTTTTCTCCAGGACCACAGCTATGGACACAAAAAGAAAATTGACGCTGAAGGACTTGGTCACCACTCAGACTGAAACAAGCATCAATTGGAATCATTGAAAGCTGAACCACTAGAAGCAGCAGCCAACTGCTGCTAACCTATCCTAAGATTCTAGATTACTTGGCAATCCAGAACATTTCCAAGACATATCGTAGGAATATACATATATCAACAAAATAAAGCACTCAAGTAAGCAGATGAGAGCTGTTGTGGTGTCACAAGGGCTGGGTTGTACTGTGGCAGTCGCTGGAATTGTTCTTTTCAGATATACCTTCCATTATGCTACTGTGAGAGACTGCCAACAGGAAACTGGCATCTGGTGATGGACAGGCCAATTTCACCACCCTGTAGAAGTTACCTATTCAAGAAGCTGCCAACAAGACTGCAATACCTCCAGATGTAAGTCTGTGCAAAACCACTGCTTCACAAACTATCACTCAGAATCTTAAAAGCTCAGTGTAGGTACCTGAGGCATTTCCACACTGATCTAGGGCAGGTACAGATCTTACTTATGGTGGGAGGATCATCAAAACTAAGCTTACTCTCAACTGGTCACTGTAAGGTGGCTTCAAAACAGTTGAGCCAAGTCTCTACCCGGATGTGGTGCTTTTATGCTTCAAACTGTGGCTTCGGGAAGAGGTGAACACAGCTTCAAGTGAAGAGAAGGACCAGGGCTGACATGACAGCAGTCTTCCAATATTTGAGGGGCTGTCCACAGAGAAGAGAAGGTCAACTTATTCTCCAAAGCACCTGAGGGCAGGACAAGTAGCCTTGGATGGAAGCTTATCAAGGAGAAACCCAATCCAGACTTAAGGAGAAAGTTCCTGTCAGTGAGAAGAATTAACCAGTGGAACAGCTTGCCTCTAGAAATTCTGAATGCTCCCTCACTGGAGGTTTTCAAGACGAGACTGGACAGTCACTTGTCTAGAATGATATAGGGTCTCCTGCTTGAGCATGTGGTTGGACTAGAAGACCTTCAAGGTCTCTTCCAGCTCGGTTATTCTATATTCCTTTATGAATTTATCCTCGGGGATGATCCAAAGCTTGGAAATTAGAGGGTGGTGCTAGCAGACCCTCCTGTTTTTTTCCCCTCTAGCTTGCTCTTCCCTTCCCTAAGATCTGTGATCTTCATTTCAGGCACATTCTCCAAACCTCTTCCAATTTTTTTTCATGTCAGAGTAGAGCAGTGGTGGCAAACCTATGGCACGCGTGCCAGAGGCAGCACTCGGAGCCCTCTCTGTGGGCACATGTGCCGTTCCCCCAGCCTCGCCTCCTCCCATGACCCCCTCCTCACCAACAGCCTCCCTGGAGGAGAGTCGCCCCCGAGCGTGGCCCACACGGAGCAGTGCAGCCAAGGACATGGCAGCCAGGCAGCGTAGACAAGACTGCCCTCACGCCCCATCCCGCACAGTTGATCTTGCAGGGTGTGGGCAGAGGGCGTGGCCACCATGGCGCTGCTGGGCTGCCTGGGTGATCTGCTGGAGGTGGTGAGTTGCTGTGTGGGCAGGCGGGGAGGGGGCAGGGCAGGGGGTGGAGCGGGGGCAGGACCAGTTTTGGGGTACTCGGTCTCTAAAAGGTTCGCCATCACTGGAGTAGAGAATGCCAAGTTAATTCCAAAGCGTATTAAGCGGTGTCGATTAATGCTGACCTTGTTGTACATTTACTGCAAGCTTCACAGGGCTGGACAGGCAAGCAGAAGCTTCCATTCTTGCAAGCACACTCAGTATTTGTGGTTGCGGTACACCTTCTGATTTCTACCTCATCTGGAAAGAGAATACATCACAAATTTAAGAATTATAGCCGTTCTGAGCAGCAACGAAGACTTAAGCTAAGACCACATGGCAATGTTAGCCCAAGAGACCCTTAACCAGGATGTCTGGAGAAAAGCCCAGATGTTTGAATTGCCAAAAGCAAATACATTTCATTTCAACTTAGTATGGCCTGTGCGCGACTTCTTGGAATGCAGTGGGTGGAACCCTTCCATAACCGGCCCTGGGCTCAGACTTTCATTTCATTTCTTCAATTCATTGCATCGATGACTTTTTATTGTTTAAAATATCATTTCAAATATAAGATGAGAGCCAGTTTCGTCCAGTGGTTATGACACGAGACTAGAAACTGGGAGACGGTGAGTTCTAGCCCCGCCTTAGACAGGAAAGCTAACTAGGTGACTTTGACCAATGACCGGGAGACGGTGAGTTCTAGTCTCACTTTAGGCATGAAAACCTGTTTGAGTGTCTTTGGGCCAGTCAATCACTCTTTCAGCCCTGCCCACCTCAGAAGATTGTTGTTATGGGGGAAAAGAAAAAAAGAAAAAAGAGAGGGGAGAGTATTATGCAGGTTTGCTGCCTTGAGTTACCTATAAAGTAATAAAGCGGGATAAAAATCTAACGAACTAAGTAAATAAAATTGTCTCCATCCAAGATAAGGAGGGAGACTCAGGCGACACAGTATTGAATAACCGGAGGTCGTATTATATATTTATAGAAGTATATACCGAGAAGGTCAGATAAATAGAAGTATTAACGTAATAGAAAATCAATCTTATTATATATAACATAGATGGGGAAATTTAGAGAGAGGAGTTGCTCGGACATTACCCCTGAATTGTATCTGAAGAGGGATGAGAAGGAAGAAAGGAGAGGAGAGAGAGAAGAGAGTAAAGGAGGGGAGAAGGAAGTAGGAAGGTTGGAGGAGAAGAGGAGGAGAAGTGGGGAGAAATGGGAGGGGAGTGGTGAAGGAAAGAGGAGAGGAGAGGAAGAAGAGGGAAGTAGGGAAGAAAGAGAAGAAAGGGAGAAAGAAGGTAGAGAAGAAAGAGTAGGAGTGTGGATACAGCGAAAGGGGAAATGGGCGAGCAACACCAAAATTTATGTGTATGTATTTACTTTATTTTATTAAGAGTATCTGACAGATAGTAAGTTTATACTTGTTTATATTATGAATGGGTTGTTTGGGTTAGATTTGGATTATTATGTGATTATTCCTGTACTCAGTTCTGGGAAGTCCGGGGAGGGGGGAGGAGGGGAGAAGGGGATTAGGGGAATTATAAAAATTGATGTATTTATATATTATAGGTAAATAATGGAATTGTATTAAAAAGAGGAGATGCTCGGCTGGTACCCCAAACTGCACTCGATGAGGTGGTTAAGAAGGGAGATGGGATGTAGGGAGGTGGAAAGGAGCAAAGAGGAGAGGTTGTGGGTTTAGGGAGAGGAAGGAAGAGGAAGGTGAATGAGGGTGGAGGCAAGGCGGGGACTGCCGAGCGTCTCCGAAAATGTATTATCTTTTCTGTTTGTGTAAGTAAATGCATCATATTTGTGTTATTTGTTGTTTAATTTCAAAAATTAATAAAAAATTTATTTAAAAAAAAGAGTATCTGATAGATAAGAATGTAAAAAGAACGTATGTTAAATATCACGGTACATTTGCTGATATGTATGGGGGAGAGTTGGAAAAAATAAAAAAGTTCTTCCAAAAAAAAAATTTAAAATGGTCTCCATCCTTCATACCTAAAATCCTGCAGGCTCTGCAACGAAAGCAGGCATTGAAGGAATTCGGCAGCTTGGAAAAGGTGTTGTTTTCACAGGGCCGGCAAGTCCCTCTAGTTCTGGGGATAGCACAAGGCTGAAAGACGAACGTGCCTGGAAGAAAACAAAAGACGTAAAAAATAAGTACACGTTAAAAGTATATATATATTAAAACAGAGGTCTCCAACTTTTCTGGCTTGGTGGACCAGCAGTGGTAGCAGTAGCAGCAGTGGCAGGGAATGGTTTTGTGTGCACAACCTAATTCTGCGCATATGCAAATGGAACTTCGCGCATTCGCCCGCTGCTTGCATGCTCAGTTCCCAACAGGCTGCAGACCGGTCCCGGTCCTCAGACCAGGGTTTGGGGAACCCCTGTATTAAAAGACAAGAATTCTCTAGGAACTGCAGATCCAGCCATACAATGGATGTCCAGGTTGCACCAAATAAAGGCAGAAAATAAATCTACTACACAGCTATAGAAAGCAATTAGCACTGTTCCCTCCCCTGTTGTATCTACCCATCCCATCAAATCTGGCAGAAGTAGTATGTTGCGAGTCCCCTGTTTAAAAGGGTTCCCACTGATGGGACCCAGGAGCAGAATCTATCCTGCTAAGGCACCCAGGCTTTGGTAGATCATCCACCCTGAAGTCAGATTGGCCCAACCCTGTTGGCTTTTAAGAAGTCCCCGAACACATGGCTGTGCCATCAGGCCTGGGGATCTCCTAGATCAGTGATGGCGAAGCTTTTAGAGCCCGAGTGCCCAAACTGCAACCCAAAACCCATTTATGCATCGTCGGGTGCCGGGTGGGTGTGGCCCATTGGTGGGTGTGGCCCATTGGGTGGGCGTGGCTGCGGTGGTAACGGCAGACTGGGTGGGACTAAAAAGTTCAATCAATCAATTCCAACTTTGCGAGATCGTTTTTTTCCCCGCCAGAAGTTGAAATTGATTGATTGATTGAACCTTTTTTTTTTTTTTGCACACGGCGGCAGAGGCCTAAAGCGAAAAGGTCTTATAAAACCCAGCTGAAGGCCTAGGACTGGGGCGACAGAGAGGGTTCTGAGTGCCGCCTCTGGCACCCGTGCCATAGGTTCGCCACCACAGTCCTAGATTTAGAAGTAGGGAGTCTGCAGGATGGCTTATTGTTTGTGAGCTGTAGGTTGGCACTCTCCTATGATTTATTTATTTTTATCTGGTGGCCTTGGTTATTTGTTTTCGCTGTTCGAATGGTTTTTAATTTTGTTGAGAGTAGCTTGGTTTTGGTTGCTTTAACTTGTGAGCCACCCCGAGACACACATATGAGAGATGGGTGGTGTAGCAGTCCTGTCCCAACTTGAACCTTGAAGCAAGAACGATCCTTGACTCCATTTGTGGAGAAAGGTATAGTTTACTAAAGGTCAAGTGAAATACAGCAAAGCCAAGCCAGAACTGAAATTCGCGTGCCAAAATCCCAAGTAGGCACAATCCTCTTACGCACTTCCCATTGCTGGTTCCTCTTCCTCCCTCCCCAATCATCCAATCAATTTCAAAGAAGATGTTTTTGAAAAAAAAACAGTCACTCTGGCTGTGTAGCTACAGTCTTCTCACAGCGGGGCGACTTCCATTACTTTCATTTCCCCCCCCACACCTTCCCCCTTCCTTCCGCCCTCCCCCCAGGGTCCATGGCACATTGGTGATAGTAGGATCACCGGTGTGCGGTGGTAGTTCTGACGGGCGGTGATGTAAATTGAGTAAAAAAAACAAATACTGTCTTGCACAGGGCAGAAGTGTCTCAGTATTATTATGAATTGAGGCCTTTGAACTCTGGTGCTGGAGAAGACTCCTGCGAGTCCCCTGAACTGCAAGGTGATCAAACCAGTCAGTCCTAGAGGAGATCAACCCTGACTGCTCTTTAGAAGGCCAGATCCTGAAGTTGAAACTCAAATATTTTGGCCACCTAATGAGAAGGAAGGATTCACTGGAGAAGAGCCTGATGCTGGGAAAGACGGAGGGCAAGAGAAGAAGGGGACGACAGAGAATGAGGTGGCTGGATAGAGTCACTGAAGCAGGAGGTGTGAGCATAAATGGACTCCAGAAGATGGTAGAGGATAGGAAGGCCTGGAGGAACGTTGTCTATGGGGTCGCGATGGGTCAGACACAACTTCGCAACTAACAACATTATTATGTCAGAAGTATATGTGTGTCAACCAGCTGGGAATCCGCCTTTTTAAGCAGAAGCATACATTGTAGTTGTGCTCAGAAAGACGTAATATTAAGGGGAATAGCCAGTGGAAGTCCATCAGAAGCAGCGTGGGCCTATTATTTGGGAGGGAGGGGAAAAACACACTTTTTTTTTTGAACAGCAGGATGTGCTTCTAATCCCTCTGAATCACCTCCTTAGCCGCAATAAAATGAACATCACAGCAATATTTTTTTTGTCCAGTTTCCTAGAAGAAAAGTGGTAGCTATCCAGAAAGTTGTGCCAAGTTATAATTTCCAACTTTCTTCTTTATGGCCACGCTAACTAGGTGTCCCGGAATACTCACTTAACTTTTCAAGGGTCACATTTTTTCCATCTGGCTTTCTTTTTTTCAAATTCTTACCGCATCATGAATTCTATTTAGCATTTCTGGGGAAATGACTAATGCAATGTGATTTTTTTTATTATTATTATTATTTTCAAAGTAGGCTTCTGCTGTTATCTACAACTTCCAATGGCTTCTGAGCACAGTTCTTGGAACGGGTCATTTCCTGTGCAGTTTTGTCACTGCTTCCAGCTTGGTCACCCAACCCTCCCTTGCTTCTGCTCATGCACATTTCTCGGAACGAGGAACAATGATGCAAAAAATAATTATTCGGAAATGATCTTTTGAAAATGATTGTCCCACGGGGTCAGCAAGAAAGAACGGTCCAAGTTATCTTTCTCAAAAAAAGGGGCAAGTCATATACAGTACATGTCCAGGTCTTACTAAGAAGGATCAGGTTGAGCTGATAATGTGATACCTGGTGGGCATTTCTTGCACTTGTGGTTGCCGTAAGCAGTGTAGAAGTTGTCGGTGTCATCATCTGGTATCGTGGGGGCAGTGACCTTTGGATCCTGTACTTGAGGAAGTCTTGTCAGGGTGACTTCATGCTGGAAACAAAGACAAGAGAAAGAGGGGATAATTTTAGTCTGTGCTTCTCTGAGAAGACAGCATAAACAAAGGCTGAAATGGTTGTTGTTCCTATGCTAAAGCTATAGAGATGCCTTCCAGATGTAAATATAGTGTACAGGTAGTCCTCAACTTAAGACCACCATTAAGCCCAACGTTTCCATTGCTAAGTGAGACATCAATGAAGTTTCAGACTGGGGTGGGCCACTGGTGGTCCCCAAATCCTCTTTTTTGCAGCTTTCCAAAGCTCTTCTGACCACAGTTGCTAACAACAAACAACACTTATCATTTGGTGGCGGAAAACAAAAAAAACAAACAAACTATGCTATAGTTGAAAAAGTACAATAGGCTTATCGCATTTTTAAAAAACAAAACAAATCCTCACACATGGATGCCTTCAAACCCAGCCCCACTTGAACATGATGTCCCAATTGTAGATTCCAACTCCCAATTACCATCTGCGGATTTGATAACCTTATAGAAGTATAAGATTATGCAAATGTGAACTCAAATTTTACTCTTTAGGAAACAATGCTTGCTTGCTTGCTTCTTGCTCGCTCATTCATTCATTCATTCATTCATTCATTCATTCATTCATTCATTCATTCATTCATTCATTCAAAATGCTAAACTCAATCCCCAGTTGTTCTATGTGGCCCAAATAAAAAAGCAGTCAAATTTCCCTTAGGTTAGCTAGCCTCAACTGCTGAAATGTGGATATACATTAATATCCATGCAGTTTTCTTGGCATGATATGGAAGTACATTTCCATTATCTTCTTCCAAAATGTTCCTTTCAACTTCCCAATTAGCTTACAGATC